CCAATCAGAGACAACTAACGAACAGCTGACACTCGTTGCCTCTGATTGGGAGTCACTAAGGCAAACACAGAAATACACACATAGAATAACCACACCCTGGCTCAACATATAGAGTCCCAGAGCCCGGGTGTGACAGAACAAGTATTTGATACACTGCCGATTTTGCTGGTTTTCCTACTTACAAAGCAAGTAGAGGTCTGTAATTTTTATCAAAGGTACACTTCAACTGTGAGAGACGGAATCTAAAACAAAAATCCAGAAAATCACATTGTATGATTTTTAAATAATTAATTTGCATTTTATTGCATGACATAAGTATTTGATACATCAGAAAAGAAGAACTTAATATTTGGTACAGAAACCTTTGTTTGCAATTACAGAGATCATACATTTCCTGTAGGTCTTGACCAGGTTTGCACACACTGCAGCAGGGATTTTGGCCCACTCCTCCATACAGACCTTCTCCAGATCCTTCAGGTTTCGGGGCTGTCGCTGGGCAATACAGACTTTCAGCTCCCTCCAAAGATTTTCTATTGGGTTCAGGTCTGGGTACTGGCTAGGCCACTCCAGGACCTTGAGATGCTTCTTATGGAGCCACTCCTTAGTTGCCCTGGCTGTGTGTTTTGGGTCGTTGTTATGCTGGAAGACCCAGCCACGACCCATCTTCAATGCTCTTACTTAGGGAAGGAGGTTGTTGGCAAAGATCTCGCGATACATGGCCCCATCCATCCTCCCCTCAATATGGTGCAGTCGTCCTGTTCCCTTTGCAGAAAAGCATCCCCAAAGAATGATGTTTCCACCTCCATGTTTCACGGTTGGGATGGTGGTTGGGGTTGTACTCATCCTTCTTCTTCCTCCAAACACGGCGAGTGGAGTTTAGACCAAAAAGCTCTATTTTTGTCTCATCAGACCACATGACCTTCTCCCATTCCTCCTCTGGATCATCCAGATGGTCATTGGTAAACTTCAGATGGGCCTGGACATGTGCTGGCTTGAGTAGGGGGACCTTGCGTGCGCTGCAGGATTTTAATCCATGAAGGCGTAGTGTGTTACTAATGGTTTTCTTTGAGACTGTGGTCCCAGCTCTCTTCAGGTCATTGACCAGGTCCTGCCGTGTAGTTCTGGGCTGTTCCCTCAAGTTCCTCATGATCATTGATGCCCCACGAGGTGAGGTCTTGCATGGAGCCCCAGACCGAGGGTGATTGACAGTCATCTTGAACTTCTTCCATTTTCTAATAATTGCGCCAACAGTTGTTGCCTTCTCACCAAGCTGCTTGCCTATTGTCCTGTAGCCCATCCCAGCCTTGTGCAGGTCTACAATTTTATCCCTGATGTCCTTACACAGCTCTCTGGTCTTGGCCATTGTGGAGAGGTTGGAGTCTGTTTGATTGAGTGTGTGGACAGGTGTCTTTTATACAGGTAACGAGTTCAAACAGGTGCAGTTAATACAGGTAATGAGTGAAGAACAGGAGTGCTTATTAAAGAAAAACTAACAGGTCTGTGAGAGCCGGAATTCTTACTGGTTGGTAGGTGATCAAATACTTATGTCATGCAATAAAATGCAAATTAATTACTTAAAAATCATACAATGTGATTTTCTTGATTTTTGTTTTAGATTCCGTCTCTCACAGTTGAAGTGTACCTATGATAAAAATTACAGACCTCTACATGCTTTGTAAATAGGAAAACCTGCAAAATCGGCAGTGTATCAAATACTTGTTCTCCCCACTATATATCATGAAATTTCGATCTGAAATCTTTTGGACAGCAAATGAATGTTGAGGGAATCCTATTTGACACAGAAAATTAGAAATTATATATAAACGATATAACTGATAACTGATATTGGCACAAGATGAAGGGAGTGTTGGAACATAACTAACGAAATTACAGTTCAAGAAAATGTACACTTAATCCAGTATAAACTAATGTATAGAATGTATTATACAAAAGCAAAATTCACAAATTCTACAGCACAATGGCAGAGTCATTAACATTAACCTTTACATCATTTAGCAGACGCTCTTATTCAGAGCGACTTACAAATTGGTGCATTCAACTTATGATAGCAAGTGGGACAACCACTTTTTTTCTTCTTTTTTTTATGGGGGGCGGTGGGGGGGGTTGGTAGAAGGATTACTTTATACTATTCCAGGTATTCCTTAAAGAGGTAGGGTTTTAAAGGTCAAAATCAGGTTTTTCATGAAATGTGATGATATTTGAAGGAAACCAGATCAAAGAATGATGACCAAAGTATGAAAAATTACTGTTGTTTCTACAGTGATAAAGTTTGATCATAAAGTTACTGGTCCCCTTCCCCATGTCAAACCCTTGGATTAATTATTAAGGGGACAAGGTGACATCACCGTAAGCGATGGTAACATGATATTCTCTTACCTAATTTAAATAAGTACTGCTTTGTAACCAACATTGGAGAAGGCGTGTTTGCAGAGGGGCCTGGTTAACATAGCTAGATATCTACTGGTGCCAAAATTTTGAATGTACGGTGTAAGCAAATATAATACCAAATAGATCATCTATGGCAAAGATACTACTTCTATGTGTCCCCTTTCATCTGTGTCTGGTGTTAGCTAGTTACTGGCTAGCTAGGTCTTCAGCCAGCATAGAACAAAAGGGGGTTTGTTCAAAACTCAGACATATTTGTCATTTCAACACATCCGCCAGTGCTGCTGTGAACAGCATCAGAACAGACATGCTAAACGGAAGATGTATAATTTTTTTTACATCTTTGATGTAATTTCAATGTTGTTTGAGTTGCTTTGTGTATCACCAAATTAGCTTGAGATGATTTTACTGCAACACTGCTCAATGAATCCAATTTGCTTGACATAGGCGTTTCAAAGTGACTGAATGACTGTTCAGGACCTTTAAGTGTACAACTAACAAGGACTCAATAATTCATGCCTTCTGGGAGTGCTATGAAGTCAAAAAGTTAAAAGGTGGAGTTAGAAAGTTGGCAGTCAGAAGTTTTACTTGTAAGTTTACTTATCTGCATATTTCAAGACATGGCATTTGAGGATGTAGTGAAATACTCAATGGGGTGGACCATACTTTTCTCGTAAATGATTTTTAAAAACATCTTAAAAACTGGAAATCAAATGAGCCTGCATCAGTACGACAGTGGATGGACAAGCACTGGAATGTCCTGGGGATGAAGGATGAGGGGGAGTGTGGTTGTGAGACATACATGATGTGTATGGTTGCGGTGGGAATATGTGGGTCTGAGCAGGTGTGATGTCATTGATGTTTGTTGAAATGTGGGTGTGTCTACTCTGTTTAGTCTTTTGTTTATGTGTGGTTGTTATTGTTTTAAAAAAAACATTCCTTTGTCAATTTTGGTGTGTGCTTGGGGTTATTGTCTTGCTGGAAGATCAACTCGCAATCAAGTTTCAGCCTCCTGGCAGACGCAACCAGGTTTTGGGCAAAGATTTCCTGGTACTGGGTGTTATGACAATTTGCTTATGAAAATCTACGATTTCTAAGTAGCCAATGTCACCAGGTGAGTTGATGGTAGCAAATAGACTTGCTCTTTATGCGCCTCAAACTTAGCAATAGTGGTTACCTTGAATGAATGAATGTTGATTCATAGAGTTGACTGTAGCAATCCTTTGCATCTTGTTTGGCATTTCTTCCATTAGTTTGCGTTGATTTGATTGCGGTAAGAACTGTGATCTCTCCCACCATCCACACACACCATACGTTCAAACCCCTGCGTCTTTACAGACCACCTGATGTGTGTTTACAACCACCGTTTGTCTACCCCTAGTGGTCGGGAGTGTAATTGCTTGAATAATACCATAAGATACACCCAAATATGCTTTCCATCACTGTTTACTCTATCTCCAAAACTGTTGCTACAGGAGTTATGTAGAATAAACATCAGCTGGGATAACGACATACCCCAATCTCTCTCACAGCAATGGCAAGGATGGATGGCGAATTTGGCGAAAGTGGCATAGCTCAAGGTGAAGAGAAGAGGTGCATCAAGCCCGAAGACTTTGGAAAGCCAGTGATGCCAATGAGTTTGGTTATAGAGCTGTATCTTACTTAATGCTTTTTAACAAGAAGCAAGTACATCTTTCGTTCATGCTGGGAAAAGAGAGTTGCTCCCATGAATCAGTAACCATTCCTAGGCTTGAGCTCACGACCGCTGTGTTGGCGGCAAATTGTCATAACAAAAGTAAGAACCGTGAGCTCTCCCACCGTCCACACACACACCATATGTTCAAACACCTGTGTCTTTATAGATCACCTGGTGTGTTTACACCAGCATTTAGCTGCCCCTAGTGGTCGGGAGTGTAATTGCCCAAATAATACAATAATATAAGATACACCCAAATTGGCTCCAACTGGGTAAAGTTAATGATGCCATTGACCTTAACAAGGGGCCCAGGACCAGTGGAAGAAAATTAGCCCCATAACATCAAAGATCCACCACCATATTTTACAGTAGGTATGGGGTTATTTTCTGCTCTTTCGACACCAAACCCACCACTGGTGAACATAGAGCTCTTTGGCTACGCACACCAGTGGTGGGTTTGGCGTTGAAATGAGAATGCATTAAGCAGAAAAGAACCCCATACCATAAGCGCAGACAAAGGATATCAATGATCTGGAAGGATTCTGTATGGAGGAATGGTCTAAGATCCCTCCCAATGTGTTCTCCAAATCATAAAACATTTTAGAAAAAGTGCCAGTGCTGTTATCCTTGCACAGTGAGGTATTGAAAGGTATTGAAAACAGGGGTGTCATTGATTGTATTACTTGTTAAGCAAAATCTCTTTCTCTGAGCAATTGTATTAGTATACATTTTTGGGTGCATACAATGCAGCTCAGTATTGAATTATTTATTTTATACAGTCATTTTTGCTCATTTTTATGAAGGGTGTCAATAATTTCGGACCACACTGTATATGGAGCTAGATTTCTGTCTAAATCTTGTACAACATTTAGACAGAAATCTATGTCCATATACTCACCTCAGGTGTGGAACGGCAGCACTGGCAGACAGCAATGCAGGCGAATGATGAGACACAGATGGACACTATAAACTCCAGCACGGAGAAAACAGCCAGAACACCTGAAATTCCCTGGGACCTGACCTATAGACAGAGAGGAACAGGAAACAGCAGTTAACTAGACTACACCGCCATTTTGGAGCAATTATGTACAATTAAACTTTGACTCCCATTTCAGTGTGGGCTAATAAGAAGTATAAACTAACTCAATAGCATCTAATTCACTATTGCTTGCAGGTTGGAGTTGTCACATATATGCTACAAATGGTGTATAATTTTTAAATAATAAAAAAACATTCAACAGTACGTACAATAGTCTAGTAATACGATTATAGATTATATAAATACCCCTTTACCGATTTACAAATATCTCCTGACCAAAGGAATAAGCATTTGGTATATACCCAATACTGTTGACAGACATAGTATGGAGGATTTTCTGGATAGTAACAGGAGTAGAGGATCCCAGCACCGTCTAAAGAATGGAGGATGATGCCAGTTAAAGCAGTAACCGTGGCAACAACATTCATTCCCAGGGAGCCTTTCACCTAAGGTACAGAGAGCAGAAAGAGGACATGGGAATGAATGATTGGTTGTGGATGAACATTTCTGAAGAATGAAATGCAATATAGAATACAGTGTGTTGACAATAATTATTACAAGTCTTTATTAAAGGGGCGATCTGCAGTTGCTGAATCGCCAGTGCCCACCCCACTGCTTGTGTTGTGGGAGGAAAACAAGCAGGTTGAATGAAAAAATGTGGGCCTATATGTAAAGTAGATTCTGTGTTTTGAAATAGAGTGGAACTTTATAAATCAAAAGCCTAAACTTTATTGAAGAAAGAATAATTGATACTGACCAGACATTTGTTCAGTTTGTTGTCAGCAGCAACAGTTAGAGAGCCTGCAATGACATACTGAGAAGGAACAAGGAAGAGATTATACAAGCCTGTGTCCCAAATGGCACCCTATTCTCTACATAGTACACTACAAAGGTAGTGCACTATCTAGGGTGTAAGGTACCATGTGGGACAAACATATTTCTACAGTATGACCAAAGTTCAAATTCAAGTTGAATTACTCCCACATAGAATTCCATACAAATTGAAATGCATGAGTGTATGAATGGCATAGGCCTATCCAAATACATATACGTTGATAAAAGTCATTAGTTAAGTCATTCGTTATAAAGCATTAACTTAAATGAAAGATTTTATATTTTTTTCATTTTTTGACATATTTGTTTTTAATGCATTTCTTTTCAAAATGTGACATGATTCAATTATTAGGATGTTTTGTTTGCATGAAGACAGGACATTTAAGAAATGATTGTTAGACAGAGCAGCTCACTCACAATGATAGATCCCCAGACAAATATTCCACTAAATACTCCAATATTGTCTACTCGTGGTCCTGTAGCCATCACGATTCCTGTCAACAGCATCAGCAAACCAATCATGATCTGTACGGTCTGTGAGAGAAAAACAAAGTACAAAGCAGGAAATTCATTTTTCTCTTCTTCCAATACATTCAACCAAAATGGTTGTTTTTTATTTCACATTTTTTTTCTAATGATGTAAAACAGAAATTCTTACCCCCAGCGCTTTTGGATGCCCCGCCCGGAAACTTCCCAGCGCTGAGTAGACCGTCTGTCCCAAACAGTGAGGGGCAGAAGCAACCCCCGCGACCCCCATCTCGTTTCCAGTAGGGTGTACATGGGTGATGACCACCACCCCGTTAGTGGTGGTTGTTACAGAGCTGGACATCTTCACAGAGGAGGGAAGGATGTTTGTAGTGCAGTAAGAGGTGATACGGCTAGTCAGTGGTGTATTGTTGAGCCTCATGTAAAGTTTATACTCTACCTGGGACTTCCAGGTAATAATTTACCTGTAATTGTCATGCATAATAGGTGTGTCAGCCACTCACTAGACTTTGAACTCTTTCCATTGGGTGGGCGGTAGGCTGTGTGTGTCTGTGGTTACTGTATCATCTGTTTACTTGAATAAGTTCCTCATTGCAGAGCGACCTTTAGTTCCTTCTTTATTGTCATAACTTCCCATCATGGGCTTGAAGTTGTTTGCCTACAGAACACAGGCTATAAAAGAAACTCATACACTTTCATGAAAGTGTGTATAAGTTTCTCTTTCATGCTACATAGCATGGAAGTGTATACATTTTTTTTGTTCTGTGCTGTATAGGCAAACATCTTCAAGGTGTGGTATAATAAAGTAATTTAATTTAACTAAAGACTTTGCCCCTCTGTGGGGAGACATCCTGAAATAAAGAAGAAGTAGGTGAAATAACCAGAATAACTGTTTATTGGTGAATGGATGTTAGATAAGCATGACAAACAGAAACGAGCATAGTAAAGTGGAGTGTATATAAATGTTGAGATATCATGTAAACATAAGCTCTTCATGTCTATTCCTGCACCCCTCTTTTCCTCTCCTCAACTTCTCCCCTCTCTCTCTTCCTCTCCTCCTCTCTCTTCCTCTTCCTATTCTCCCCTCTCATCCTCTTCTCCTCTCTTCCTCTCCTCCTGTCTCTTCCTCTCCTTCTCTCGCTTCCAAGGTTATTATAGTTTTGTGTTTTTACATTCGTTTTTATTTCTAATCGTTTTTAGATTTTAATTTTAAATTCAGTTTAGTTTCAGTTTGCTTTTAGAGATGATTTTCTAGTTTCTATAAATGTTCTATAAATGTTTAACAATTGAGATGTACAAACTATTGCATAAGGGAACGATGAGCGGATAAGAGGCAAGCCGTAATTTTGTTTAAGACATTAATGAGCAGGTAGTCAATATACCGGAACTATTTGTTCAGCACTTTTGAAATGTACAGCGACAGAATTCAAAACATGGGCCATTCTTACAGTATTCTCCCTGTACACCAAGTCAGAACCGTAGGATAAATAACGGGGGCATATAAGCAGACAATAAAGGCTCTTACAATATTGGATGATTACATTTCTCTAAAACAGGCTATAGGCTACATATGCACCACCAAGTCAGAACAGTAGGCTAAAGTTCTGAGGGGGAGAGGGATCAAATTAGGTTGGACACATGGGCTACTAACAGCTTACTACACAACATACACTTACTATTACTTTCTTAGCTACAGTATACATATCTCCCTGGCATATTACATCATTTATGCAGCAGCATACAATACATTTTTGGACTCACCTTTTTGTGCTCACTTGAAAGAGGTGCGGTGGTCCTTCTTGTGGGCAAACTTTGCCATCAAACTTTGTCATCAAAGTCTGGCATTCTCTGGATTTATGGTGCTTTCAAGACACCTGGGAACTCTGAAAAAAACAAGGTTGAATCATGACGTCAGTGATCTTCAGGTCGGAGATCTAGAAAGAGGCCCGAGTTCCTGACTTGGAATTCCCAGTTGGATGACCGTTCAAAACTTATTTTTCCTGTCTGAGTTCGTTTTTTTTTACCAAGTTCCCAGTTCTCTTGAACGCACTGAAGTCTGAGATTTCCCAGTTCCGAGTTTCCAGTTGTTTTGAATGCGGCAGAAGTCATGCTGGATTGACAGCAGGGCTGATGTATTCAACCTTTTCTCATGGTGTTGCGTGTGAATGTTTATCCTTTTAAGCTTGGAAAAGAGACCCTTTAAGACAGATGTTTTAAATCCTTTAACCCAGACTTGGACCACACACCATCTTCACCGAATAGCAGGCAGGGGAAGCAAAATAGTGATTGATTTGCGACGCTCGCAGTTAGCCACTGATCACTTCCAAACCACTCATTGTTGAATTTGTGATTTCCGACTTGTTTATGTCCAATGGACGATGAGCACCGATACGCTTTATCTATAATTTCTCTTCATATGACAAGAATTGAAAATAATTTGCCAGTAGATTGTTGACGAGATTCATGATGATGTCTGCTTGTCTAGTTTGGTAGCTAAGATTGTGAAAGTATTATGTTGACATGATCAATGTATCTGTGGCCAATGACCTTGAAGCTTCTTGGACAGAAACTTCTAATGTAAATCTATGGCAGCACCCAAGGGGGATTGAACTGCTTAGCTCGCCCTGCAGATTCTGCGGTGACATGGTGTCCAGATGAGTGACAGAACACTGAGCCAATCACGGCACAACTAGAGAAGATTACCAAAGCCTATGCTCTGTATTTTTCGCTGGCTGCCCCTTTACCACAGAAAGCACTGAGCTAGGCTGAAACACCTGCATTTTGGAGCTGCTTTACTCAAGAAAGTTGTGTGTTTGTATAATGCTTTTTTGTATTATTGTTTGCAAACTGATATGTTATATGAATGAATGCCAAAGTAACATGCAAAACAGGCAACAAAAACAAAATATATATACATTTATATATTTTTTGCTAAACAGGTGGAGCTCAAAACAGGTGGGGCTCTGCCCCATCTGCCCTGAATGATGGGTCGCCACTGTATATTTCAAAGCCAATTTAAGTCAAAACTGTAAGTAGGCCACTCAGGAACATTCAATGTAGTCTTGGCAAGCAACTACAGTGTATATTTGACCTTGTGTTTTAGGTTATTCTAATGCTGAAAGGTGAATGTGTCTCCCAGTCTGTTGGAAAGCAGACTAAACCAGATTTTCCTCTAGAATTTTGCCTGTGCTTAGCTCTTTCTTGTTTATTTTTATCATAACAAACTCCCTAGTCCTTGCCGATGAAAAGCATACCAATAACATGATGCAGCCACCACCATGCTTGAAAATATGAAGAGTGGTACTCAGTGATGTGATGGATTTGCCCCAAACATAACGCTTTGTGTTCAGGACATAAAGTTAATTTCTTTGCCACATTTTCTGCAGTTTTACTTTAATGCCTTATTGCAAACAGGATGCATGTTTTGGATTTTTTAAAATGATTTTCACTCTGCTATTTAGGTTAGTATTGTGGAGGAGCTCAGTTTTCTCCTATCACAGACATTAAACTCTGCAGCTGTTTTAAAGTCACCATTGGCCTCATGGTGAAATCCCTGAGCGGTTTCCTTCCTCTCCGGCAACTGAGTTAGGTAGGACGCCTGTATCTTTGTAGTGACTGGGTGTATACACCATCCAAAGTGTAAATAATAACTTCACCATGCTCAAAGGGATATTCAGTGTCTGCTTTTTGTATTTTTACCCATCTACCAATATATGCTCTTCTTTGCGACCTCCCTGGTCTTTGTGGTTGAATCTGTGTTTGAAATTCACTGCTCGACTGAGGGACGTTAGAGATAATTGTATGTGTGGGTACAGAGATGAGGTAGTCATTCAAAAAATCATGTTAAACAGTCTCTCAGAGTATTATGTGACATGTACATTTTTACTTCTGAATTTCTTTAGGCTTCCCATAACAAATGGGTTGAATACTTATTGACTCAAGACATTTCAGGTTTTAATTTTGAATTAATTTGTAAAAGAAAATCTAAAAACATAATTCCACTTTGACATTACGGGGTATTGTGTGTAGGCCAGTGACACATAATATTTAAACAATTTTAAATTCAGGCTGTAACACAAGAAAATGTAGAAAGAGTCAAGGGGTGTGAATACTTTCTGAAGGCACTGTATAGATCTTTTCCCCTTATAATACTACTAGTCACCTAGCAATTTTATGAATTTGGCTTTAGCTAGCCCAGATAGGTCCCCAATCTCCCAACCTCATAACTAGCTAAGAAGCCATTTCAGGCTATCAATCAAGTTAGAGCAGTTAGCTTGTCTAACTATCTTAGCTGGCATGCCTGCTGGCAAGGTTGGTAGACTTTAGAAAAGCAAGCAATTAGTAAATGTACTGAATAAGACTCATATTCCTTTCAATCTTTTACCCAAATTTGAGAAGAGATGCAGAGAAGCATATTTAGTTTCTTTAAAAAAAATAACCACCAGTCAGGAGGATACAGACTGCTCAAAAGGTCTATGCATTGATATGGTCATCGTCATGTACTTTGTGTCCCCTAAGGTTTTTGGGGTGCATTACGTCCCTGTCCCTGAGTAAAGAGCCCACCCACGACTGCTTTAGAGTAAAGGCGTAATTTAACTGTAAAAATGTATTACCTTTTAATGTGTCATGAACAACACCAGTCATGATGTTTTCATCTGATTGTCAAACAAATAACTTCAAAAAGTAGGTTAAGTAGGTTACCTGTGCACATTCGTCTACTCCATAACAAGTCCAGCATTCGAACAGTGCACTGTGCATCTGCCATAATAGCAATAAAAATTATTTCTCAATCGTGTCTGTGTTTCATAATTTTCCTTCAATTCGCAAAAGGCTGAATCTATTTCACCACAAAAAGCATCCGAGCGAGGCAAACAGTTCCCCTCTGGCTTAGTATCTGTAGCCCATGTACAGTATCTGATGCTGTCTGGCCAAAAATAATATGACATGTCATACGTTTTTGGCCAGACAGCATCAAATACATGGGCTACAAATACTAAGACAGAGGGGCGCTGTTTTGCTCGCTCGGATGCTTTCTCCGGTGAGATTGATGAGTCTTGCTGTCGGTGCGCGTCATGGTCAAAATTCTCAATATATTCAGAGATTACCTGTCAGATCACATAATTTCTGAGGGGTCCCACCTGGGCCACCCCCTGGACACGCCACTGTGCGGCAGGTGCTCAAAGTGAGAATTAAAAATCTTCCATTCACACTGTACGTTTCTACTGCTCCTATAGCCAAATGCACCATTATAATTTTTTACATAGGCCTTTATTTTATGCAACAACAAAAAAAGCTAAGGAAGCTGGAATCATAGATGAAAGAGAGCTAGAAATAACCACTACTTCTTTGCTAGAACCACTACAGGGGGTAGGCTATATCAGCTGATCATCACTAATGCAGGCTAGATGAACCAGCTAGTTA